CCAGTCCTCTCAGGCCTCAGCTGCCTGCTGCAACCAGTGATCACAGCAGCAGCAGCTGCCATCTAACCAAGCGCCCAGTGTGAGCCAGGTGCTGTGCGCTCAGTGCTTCATAACAGCCCCGTGAGGCAGGATCTGTTTCCACCCCAATTTACAGATGAGGAAACGGAGGCTCCAAGGTCACTCGGACAGGGCGTGGCAGAGCCTGGCTGGCTTCAGGCAGGGCCCTCTACCCACTGCCCCAATCGGCTAGTGAATGTGGGTGATGCTGAGCTTACCTGTAAATGGACACGTTCTCAATGAGCTGGCTGGTGATGCCGTCGGTCAGGATGATCCCCCGTGGTGACACCTTGAGAGTCACCTTCTGCAGCTTCTTCCCGCTGGCCTTGGCCTTGGGGCAGACATGGGTCAAAGGAGCCTGCCTGCCTCACCTGGGACCCACCCTCATGGCTACATCTAGCTGCTCCAGCCCCCAGACTCCAGGCCCATGTGAGGCCTCAGCTGAGGTGACTGGAAGACATGATTTAGAAGACATTTCCGCCAACACCTTCTTCTAGTAAAAATAGGGACAACTGCTGAAACCGGTTTGGCTCAGTGGATAGAGCGTCGGCCTGCGGACTGAGGGGTCCTGGGTTTGATTCCGGTCAAGGGCATGTACCTGGGTTGCGGGCACATCCCCAGTGGGAGATGTGCAGGAGACAGCTGATCGATGTTTCTCTCTCATCGATGTTTCTAACTCTCTATCTCTCTCCCTTCCTCTCTGTAAAAAATCAATAAAATATATATTAAAAAAAAATAGGGACAACTGCTTCTCATTGCGCAGCCGCTGTCTGCCGAGCACTGGTCCTCGAGTCAGCCGTGCTTTTTCCCAGGAGAAGGACCCAGAGAGGCTAAGGGACTTGCCCCAAAACACACAGCCAGGAGGACCTCACACTCTGAGCTCTGAGGGGGCTACCACAACCCAGTAGGATGACTTCCGGGGACTCTGCTCTACCTGCTGACCCCGCTAGGGACTGAGCTGAGGGTCTGAGACCGACAGGGGAGGTGGATTTACAGGGCCCTCGCTCACTCGGAGCAGGCGGGAGGGAAATCTGGTCTCTGGTGCTGACCTGCCCCTCAGGACACATAGCAAGCGGTTGGGTGACAGTGACCTCCCCATCCCTTCCTGGCACTAAGTCACTGTTAGGCAGGGGACCCGAGCTGGGGGAGGGGAGGCTGGGAGAGGACACGACCACAACTGCTAGAGAGGGGGACACTGACCCTCACCCCGCAAGCCCAATGGCTACCCTTTACCAGAGTCCCCGAGGCAGATGCGAGGGGACTCAAGGGCAGGGACAGGCCAGACACATCCAATTGGGGTACTAAGTGTGGGACAAGCAGCACCCCGGGAAGAAGCTGGACCTGGCTCCCCACACTGAGGCTCACCGTGGCCACGATCCTCTTGACGGCGGCCGCGGACATCTCCTCGCCCTTGGGCTGCTCCACCAGCGTCATGCCCAGGTACTTGAGGTTGAAGAGCATCCCCTCGAGCAGCGTCTCCCGGGTGTCTGTCCAGTTCTCAGGCAGCTCTGGCAGGAGGACAGGCGCTCAGACCTGCTGGGCAGGCACCACGGCAACAGCCCTCGCAGCCCCTTTCCCACGGACCCAGCAAGGGGCTGTGGGTCCTGCCATCGACCATTATTTTTTAAATATATTTTTATTGATTTCAGAGAGGGAGGGAGAGGAAGATACAGAAATATCAATGATGAGAATCACTAATGAGCTGCCCCTGCACACCCCAAATGCAACCCAGGCATGTGCCCTGATAGGGAATCGAACGGTGACCTCCTGGTTCATAGGCTGAGGCTCAACCACTGAGCCACTCCAGCCAGGATCATTATTTTTATAGTTAATAAAGGGCAAAACTAACATTTTCCAGTATGTACCAAGCACTGTGATAGCAAGCTTTACATAAAATATTCTCATTAATCCTCACGAGAACCTAAAAGGTAGATCACTTTATCATACCCATTTACAAAGACACTGAGGCCCAGGGAGGCAAAATCACATAACTGAGTCCAAAGAGCCAGCAAGTATAAGAGCCAAGATTCGAACCCATAATTTCAAGCCCAAAGCCCAAACTCAACTTCAATGCTAACACTTGCTGAGGGCAAACCATACCATTTTCTCACTGAATCTTTAATGCAACCCTGGAAGGTGGATATTATCCCTTCAGACACGAGAAAACAGGTTCAGAGAGCCAGTCATCGGACAAAGGCCCCATACACGGAGTTAAAGGGATGGGGTTAGAGTTCAAATCTGAGTGGTTTCCACAGCGCCAGCCTGCTCTGCTTTCCTCCATCTGCACGGCCATGGAGACCAGCACGAAGGGGACCAGGAAAGACACAGCAGGCCAAGGAGAGTAAGGCGAGGGTGAGAGTAAGGGTTTGGGAAAGGGGGAGGTAACTGCTCAAACGACATCATGTGAAGGCCGCCTGAATCCGGCAGGCCTGGGTGTGAACACCAGCTCTGTTTCCCACCACCTGCATGGTCTTGGAGAATTCTCCTCCTCTCTGAGATGAATAATGCCCGGGCTGCAGCACTGACCAGAGCAGGCACAAGGGAAGGGTCCTTTGAAAACTCGGACCCTCATGGTCGGAAAGGTTGGAAACGAGGATGAGCCGAGCTCCCTGGGCAGGAAAAGGCCAGGAAGTAGAGTTGGAAAGAGGCCCCCACCTCGCCCCACCCACCTGAGAGAGGACTCCGCGCAGGCACAGGGACAGGACAGGTGTAACCATCCCCAGGGTTCCTCCGCAGGAGCTGAGGCCCAGAGGCACCAGATCACTTAGCTGGGGAGCAGGGAGGCCAGAAGGCAGGCCTCCAGGGATCCTTCCAAGCCCATCACCAGGACGAACGAACATCCATGCTCCTGCCAGTTGGGGCCCGCTGTCCATCCCTCATCACCCTCTATCAGATGCTGTAACGTAGGAGGTATTATGGTTGTACCCACTTTATAGATGAGGAAACTACTCTTCAGCCTCACACACAATCTTGGACAGAGCAGGATTCAGACAGGAATCCGTTTCCAGGGTGCACCACCGAGATGGCCAAGGCCAGCTTCCTTAGACCATTTCCAGAAATCCATCCAAGCCGGGAGGGCAAAGTACGCACTGCCGTGCTCGCCTCCGGTGTCCTTGGCAGACATTGCTAATCAACTGTAACTCTCTATTCCCTCTGATTTACAGGCTTTGGACTGTTCCTCAGCACAAGGCTCCAGGGAGGCAAAACCAATTGATCAGGGATGGTCTTGTTCATCTCATTATCCATCACAGCCCTATGGCAAACACCCCCCCCCACCACCACAACCACCATTTTCATGTCTCCCACTCTCCCATTTCCTCCAGCTCAGCCCTTTCCTGGTCCATGTCCAAAGCCACTTCCGCTCCCTCCATTCCAAAGGGCCAACGCTTGCCAAGGTCACAGACAACCTCTTTGCTGTCAAAACATTCCCCAGCCCTCCTTGACCTCTGAAATGCTTGACATTTTTCTGCATTCCTCCTTCCCTGGCCTGACCCTTCCCCTGGTCCATGGCCTCCTGGAAGAGGGCCCTAGTAGACAGGTTGCCACTCATCAGCCTCCGAGACCTTCTGCCCAAACCTCTCCCTCTCCCTTCAGGTGATGAAACTGAAGCCCAGAGAAGAACGGGACTGGTGCCAAGTCATACAAGTAAAGGGACCCCCAGCTCCCAATCCACTACAGGCAATTCCTACAATGACTATTGGGGAGCTAAGGTTCCCCGTCTTCTCTCCCACAATCTCTCTCTCCACCCCTCCCGCCCCACACACACCCATACCCACACACATGTTTTAACCATGCAGAGCTTCATCCTCATGGTGGGACATTTACTTTCCCACTTCTGTGCCTCTGCCCAAGTGGTCCCCTCTACCATAAATGCCCTTCCTCTCCCTTGCTCGAAACCCCTCACATCCAGCCTCCTCCAGGAAGCCTTCTTTGAGGCAGTATTGCCTAGTGGTTAAGAGCAAGGGCCTTAATCCTAGAATCCCAGCTCTGACACTGAGTAGACTTAGAGCAAATTACCTTCCTTGAGCCTCAGTTTTCTTATCTCTAAAGTGAAAGAAACAACAGTCCCAGCTTTCAGGGCTGTTTTGACCGAGGCCTCCTCCAGGGCCTCCTCCCTCCTGTCACTGGATTGCTCCTGCCTCTCTCGAGTGTGGACTTCCTTTTCTCCCTCCCACAGTCAAGCAGCTGCCTACCATGTGTCTTCCTGTTGAAGGACTTCCATTCTTGCCTGCCTCCCCCAGAAACGGGTATGGAGAAGGTGCATTCCTGCCCAGCGCTGCGGTTCTGCCTGTCCTACTTCTCCCTCGCCCACCTCCCACTCCCCCACCCTCCCAGGACAGCAGAGCCCCTCCTTCCCACCCAGGGAAGCCAGCCTCCGCTTCTCCAGCTCTGGGTAGGACTCATTCCTTCAATGAGTGTACATTCTCTCATGCCCCACGCCCTCTTCAAGAAACCAGCCCTCAGGAGCTCTCCATATACACAGAGGGGAGATTCACTGCCACGCTCACCCTGCTCACCATCCAGCCACCTCATGTGGGCGGGAGGAGCCTGGACTTCAAGAAGAGCTCCCAGAGGGCCCCAGACAAAATACAGGCCTGAGTCCACAGCCTTGTTCCGGTCGGGTTATTTTTGGCCCTGTGGTGGGTAATGACTAGGCTATTTTAACTTTGCAATTTTACAGATGACCTGCTCTCAGAGTGAGATGGGGACAGACCATATGCCCAGTCTAACTCGAGGCTGCAAACATGTGCTCTCTCCTCATTAAGGCCCCCTGCCCAGGGGGCAGAGCTGGGTAGGGTGCCCCTGTGCCCCTCCTGCTGAGCCAGGTGACCTGACCTGGCTGGTCTGAGAAATATCAGAGTTGCAGCCAAACCCATGGCCTGGGGGGAACCTCTGGTTGGGGCTCCCCCAGCCTGGAGGGGAGACGGCCTCAGAACCCTCAGGGCGACACCTCAGAAGGAGGAGACTCACGCTCTGCTGTGACCTGGAGTGTGGCTGCTTCTCTAGGCCATGGTCTCCTTACAATGGGTTCAGTCCCTCAGGAGCACCATCAGAAAAAAGTTCAGGATGTGAAGAGTGCTGGGCAAATTTCGGAAACTGTCCGTTTCGGTCGGTTAGAGTGTCACCCTGATACACCAAGGTTGTGGGTCCGATATCCGGTCAGGACACGTAGAAGAATCAACCAGGGAATGCGTAAACAAGTGGAGCAACAAATCGATGCTTCTCTCTCTCATCAGTGACTTTTTTAAAAGTTTGTTAATATTTTCAAGAGAAAATTAAAAAGTGGTAAGAGCAGCAGCAGCTATCATTTCCTACGTACCTATTTACACTATTCGAGAAAAAGATACTGTCAAGGTTAAAACATGGGGTCTGCATACGGGCTGTGGGGTTCCCAGTCCCTCCGCTCCCTGGTCCTGTTTCCTCACGTGATGGGATAATAACACTGTCCACCCCGTGGGGCTGGTGTAAGGATGAAAGGAGTTCACCCATGAGGTGGGCTTAGAGCCATGCCCGGTACATACCAGGGCCACTGAAGTGTGAGCTACTGTCATTTCCCAGGGTCAAGTGCAAAGAGCCTTAATGCATACAGTCATTTGTAGTATTTTATTCGGAGAGTCAAGGAGATACTAGGATTCCCGTTTCACAGGTAAAGAAGCTCAGGGGAGTCTGGCCATGGTTCATAACTGACAGTGCCGGGTCTTGAATCCCACAGCCGGGCTCTTCACCCACACCTGCAGCCCACCGCACCCTTTGCTATGCAAGGCAGGAGTCAGACGCAGGCTCACCCAGGAGGGGCGGGCATGCTGCCTTGCAGGACTGCCTGAAGGGAGTGTCTGGTTCCCCCTCGGTGGGCAGTACATGACCTGATCCCTTCAAGCCACATAGCCCTCTGCCGCCGGACCAGTGAGAAGCAGAATCCCAGCCTCCGGTTAACTGCGCCTTGTGCTTGCTGTTCCCTCTGGCTGGAATGCTGTTCCCGAACTCCCCTCTCCCTGTACTCATACATGTATTACAGTCACCTTCTCTGCGCGGCCTTCCCTGACTTCCTGCACTGACACGATCAGTGCCCTACCTTTATCGCCTTGGTAAAGGGTACCATTTCCGCACACGCCACCCGACACACCACTCTATGCCTGTGGCCCTCTCTGGCTGCTGGAGATGCAGACTGGGGCATTGGGGCGTTAGAGCTCCCATCCCCAGGAGCCCTGCACCCACCAGATTGCACAGCCCCTCAAACAGTAAAGGCGGAACACATTCTACCAGAACACCTCCTCCCAGAGCTCCCCACAGGATGGCGCTCCAGCCGCCCACCGTGGTCAGGGGATTAGATCATTCAGTGTCCACTTTTTGAACTCCCTTCACTTCTCCTAACACTAGTTCCTGGGACCTCTTCCCAAATAAATGGCTTGTACTTACATCTTTTTTTAAATGTATTGATTTGAGAGAGAGGAAAAGAGAGAGGAAGAGCGAGAAAAAGTAACATCAACTTGTAGTTTTACTTACTTATGCATTCATTGGTTGATTCTTGTATGTGCCC